TTTTTTTTTTTTTGCTGAAATTTTTTATTTTTCTTTTTAAATTACAATACCAATATTACTTTGAGTTAATTGCCATAAAAACCCCAACCTTTTTCTAAGTTGCAAAAAAAACTCCATTTCTCCAAATTTGCAGATAAAATCCCAACTTTTGTTATTTGTTGCAATTGTGTCTCGAGCTCACTTACCGGCGAAATGCGCTGACATGGACAATCGGATTTATGTGCTGGCTGCCGGATTATGCTGACGTTGCACTCAACATTTTAAGTTGAATCCACGTCAGCAACACATAGGATACACGTAGGACAAAATAATACACATCATTTTCCTAATCAGAAATTATCTGTACAGTGAAAAAAAAAATCGATCGATCGATAGAAACAATACACTTCGATCTTCCAGCTGCTATTCCACTTTACCATTTCGTTCTTCTTCAACCCTCAGAGGTGGAAAAAAAAAAATCGACATTGAAGATGGAGAAGAGAAATCCGTCAAACCACCTGCGATTTTGAAGAATCGTTCAAAATCCCTCACTGCGACGAAGCCATCAATATCCATCTATTTCTGAAGCTGGGATTTCCTCCTTATCTTTGACGAAGCTCGGATTTTGAAGAACCCTAGTTCCAGAACCGTATTTTAGACAGAAGCTGCGATTTTCGGCTCAATCGTGGATTTCTCCCTTACCTGCTGGTACATTCGACGACAGACGAAAGCCCCAATCGATCTCGTTTTTGGTGAGCGAATTGTATCTCCCTCTCCGTCTCGTTTTTTAATTGTTGGTTTGTCCTTCAATTTTGGTACTGCTGTTCGTGAGTTTGTCGGTACTGGACCTTCGATTTTGTGGGTATGTGAGTTGGTTCGCAGAATTGCTGTTCTTCGAATTGTGGGTTCGTCAATTTTGTTTGTTTTGGTATTGTTCTTCGATTTTGGTACTGGACCTTTGATTTTGTGGTATTGTTCATTTTTTACAGAAGCTGCAATTTAATGGTTTTGGTAATGCTGTTGATTTTGTTATTGTTCATTTTTGACAGAACCTGTGATTTAATGGTTTTTGTACTGCTGTTCATTTTGGTACTGCTATTCATTTTGGTACTTAGGTGGAATTATGCTGTAAACATGATTAGTTAGTATTTAGGTCCTTGCATCCTGGAATTTTGTACAGGGATTTATGTGTACTGCTGTTGATTTTGTTATTGTTCGTTTTTGACAACCTGCGATTTAATGGTTTTGGTACAGCTGTTCATTTTGGTACTGCTATTCATTTTTGTACTTAGGTGGAATTATGTTGTAAACATGATTAGTTAGTATTTAGGTCCTTGCATCCTGAAATTTTGTACAGGGATTTATGTTTAGGGTGCTGTCTTTTGTACAGGAAATTATGTCTTCTTGTTCGCTGGGAAGTTGTTCGCAGGGTTCTTATAATGTTAATGTTAAATGCGATTGTGGCGAGAAGGCGCAACGATGGACATCAAAAACGAGCTCGAATCCTGGGAGGAAGTTTTATGGCTGCAGAAATTGGAGGAATGGGGGATGCACATTCTTTTCTTGGTGTGAAACCGATAAAATGGGAGCTGCTATTGAAGAGGAAGGCAAGATTCCAAACCACACATCATGTGAAGTCAATATCGCTTCCCTAAAACAAAAAATTTTAAGAATTTAATTGCATATAGAAGAAACCAAAATCATGAAGCAGAACTTTAAAATTGAATTGAAGACTCTGAACCGAAGAATTTCAAGATTAGAAATATTTGTATCTTTAATGTTTGTTTTTCTTATTGTATTTGTGTATTTGGTGAAGTATTGATAGGCGTTTGTTTAAGTACTCAAGAGAATTGGTTGGATGAACAATATGGGTTTTTATTTTGGCTTTGGTTTGATTTATTGTATTTTGAATTATCTTGTTTGATCTTTTAATTATGTTCATTTGGTGTTTGATCTTTTATTGGTTATTGTTCTTTGTCTTTTGTTTCTGTTTTGTAATTTCTGTTTTAGGCACTGCATAGTCATGTTTTGTACAAATGTTTGATTTCAAAACGTTATGTAACAGTCAGTTTTGTATCTTTAATTTTTACAACACAAATATATATTTCCTAAGCCAATTTCACAACACCAACATACATTTCCAAAACAACAACAATGTTTCCAAAACCAATCACAAAACAACAACAATGTTTCAAATCACCACCAACATCACAAAACTCCTGTAAGTGCAAAAACTCCTGTAAGTGCAAAACATAGTTCAATACACACTACAAAAACTCCAAATAAAACCAGTGTTGCTTTGAAAATAGCATAACACAATTTAAAATTCATAGAAGCTACATAGACTACTTCACACTTTACTAGTCTGAGTTCCAAAATTAGCTTCACCCTCCACTACACTGCTTGTCCCACTTGCATTACCCACCTCTCTTGTACCCTCTCTTTCACTTGAGCTTTCACCAGCTGATGTCACATTTCTTGAAGGAATGAGGTGGACTTTTTTGTGAGATGACATCTACGAAAAAAACAGGCACATTAATATCCATAAAATAAAACTGATGTAATAAAATTAAAAAAAAAATACCCTCAAATAGCTATTCCCTGTTTGTTCAGATTGCAAAAGTCCAATGCCTTTTCTTGCCTACAAAGTAAAACATTTAAATTCCAAGATTATTTAAGAATTTCAAAACTGAATAAAAACTAAAATAAATAAATTTATATTACCATTGCCCTCTCTTTTTGAACTATTGAGTTCACATTTTTCTGAATTGGTAACTTAGGCCTCTTCTGAACAGATGGAGCGTCTGAAGAATCCACATTTTTCTTCGGCCTTCCTCTCTTTTTCTACGATGATATTAAAAAAATAAATTATTATATATAAATATGTCAAAGAAAAAAAAAAAGGTTGGGTAGATCATTTCACCTTCTCTGCCTTTTCAACTGGTTCATTTTTACATGTCTTTTTGTTGTGACCTTTTTTCAAACAATTTTGACAGGTCATTTGAAGACCAAATCTCTTCAACTTTGTGCTAGACAGGCTCTCTTCTTCGGGGGCCCTTCTTCTTTTCTTCTTAGGCCTCCCAGGCATCTTTCTAAATGGTGGTGGCTTTATAGGATAGCCAGAGGCAACAGGCCATAATTTACTACCATTCAGTGGTTCTAGAGCAGTAGAATACAACAGAATGTATCTTTCAACACTATACCACTCATGTACATAATCAGCTGGATCTTTATGCAGAAAATGAATAGATGAACATGCATGGATGCATGGGATTCAAGTTATATCCCATTGCCTACATGTGCATGTTTTGTTCCTCAAATCAACAACAAACTGATCCTCAATACATGTCACTTGAAATCTTTCCCCCACAGCAGGTTTGGTAACACAATGCCTAGACTTGAATTTGTTACTTTCTAACACCTTTTTAATCCTAGGACATATAGTATCACCCACCCCACTCATTTGCATAAGCTTCTCATATTGTCTTTTCATAAGATCACTCCTAATGCTCTCCAACATGTCTATGATATGCTTTCCTCTAGCCTTGACAATATACCCATTAAAGGTTTCACTGATATTATTCTCAATCATGTCACATTTAGACAGGTGGGAAATAAAAGCCTTACAAAACCTGGAAGGCATTCTCTTAAGAAAGTCCTCATATGCATCCGGGTCTTCGGCTTTCAAATCGTCCAATGCAATGTTGTATGCAGCTTTGTGTGTGCTCAACACCAACCTCCAAAAAATGAACTTCAACTCTTGGCCATTGAATTCTTTTTTCCAGTTCATATAAACATGCCTTGCACAATTTCTGTGCTCCGCATGGGGTGTAAAGTCTGCAATTGCATTTATCAATCCCTGTCAACATATAAACCAAAATTATTAACCAAACAGATACAAAAACAGTAACATGCATGACCTTTGTCATAAAAAACAAAATTAGTAATAAAAAACTTGCCTTCTGTTGGTCACTCATGAATGTATAACCAAGTCCATCATTTATCCCCAAGTCCTCAAATAGAATGGATAGAAACCATTTCCAACAAGCTTCATTCTCTGCCTCAACTACTGCCCACGCCACAGGATACATTTGGTTATTCCCATCCTTTGCTGTGGCACAAAGTAATGCACCACCTAAGAATGTTTTCAAAAAACAAGCATCAAAGCCTAAGACTGGTCTACATCCATATAAGAAACCTTTTCTAAGCGCACTAAATCCAACATAGAATGATCTAAACACACTGTCATCTTGTAACTGAAACTCAAATCTTCCTTCTCTGTCTACTCTTTGCAGCTCAGCCATGTAACGTCTGAGAGATGCATAGTGCTCTGTCACAGATCCTCTCAACATTTCCATTGCCTTCCATTTTCTTCTGTAAAGCTTCCATTTGGTAGGTTGAACAGCAAAATTAGTAAGTATGTCATCTGCAAGTTGAGATATAGTGAAGTTTGGGTTTTTTCTGAAAGTGCCAATATATTCCCTAGCAATCCAATCCGCAGTCACCTGCCTAGTGTGTACATCCCTATGGCACCTGTGTTCAGATTCAGAGACTTTATTGCAAACCTACCTTCAGAAGTGATTGGAGAAGCATAAAGGCTCCAAGGACACCCATCACTACACTTAGCTTGGACCTGCCTTTTGTTGCTCTTAACATTTTTAATATTATAGCCATTAATAATGGCTACCTTCTGAATGGCCCTTCTGACTTCTTCAGCGGATGTAAACCTCATCCCAAGCACAAAATTAAAATGCTTGTGATCACACTTAGGATCATAAAAGACCCTTTTTTTTTTACCCTTTTTGGCCTGTCCTCATCACTGCTAGATGAATTAGAGATCATTGCATATTCAAGATCAAGATCTGAGCCCTCATATTGTGCAAGTTTTTCATTAACTAAAGAGAGGGCCAAATCTTCATTCTCGGTCTCATCTGGAACAAACTTCTTATATTCTTTCAAATTCCTTCTAGACGCAATTCTCTCTTCATCATCTGAAGCAAGCTCATGATCAGATAGCTCATCATCATCGGATGAACTCTCAACTACAGGAAAATAATCTTCATCTTCACTACTCCCAGATGAATCTTCCCCATTTGTGTTGCTATTTCCAATATGATTCATCGAAAACTCATCCCTGCAAGAAAAGAAAAAATAACCATAAGATTTGGGAAAATGTACATTTAAATACCAACTATAGCCAATGAATTAAGTAAAACAAGTATTAACATCACCCAATTACCCATTCTCCATTGACGAAAGTCACGAAACCTTGTTCAGAGGGAAAGGAGATTTGTTTCTTTTAACACCTGAACAACAGAATTCAAAAACATTTCACAGGGAAAAGAGCTTTGTATTGTATCTCCAGTATAGGACCAACCTAAAAAATTTACAGAACAAGAACATTAAACAGCCCAAAAAATTTATAGGACCAACCTAAACACTTACAGATATCTACATCACAGCAGATTCAATCGGATATACAAATATACAGCTATAATCTTCAGTATATAAATTTACAGATATTTATAGGACCAAGCTAAATCATCACAACAGTTAAAGATATCTACATCACAGCAGATTCAATCGGACCAAGCTAAACACTTACAGGTATCTACATCACAGCAGATTCAATCAGATAACAGATATACAAATATACAGCTATAATCTTCAGTATAACAGCACTTAAAGGCTTAAACATCATCACAGTCAGTTAGTTCCTCATAAACCGAAGCAGTAACCAATCAATAAGGCATTAAGAAAATAGATGAAATCCATAAGCTTCAGATGTAGGAAGGAAAATTACTTACAGAACGGAAATAAAAGCCAATTGGGAAAGAAGAATTCTTGAGATATTACCTACAGAATTGAATCTCACCACCTATTTTTTCTACTAGCATTTGTCAGAGGCCGAAAATTCGACCTTCAGCAGAAAAAAAAAGAAGTACCTTACTCGATTGAGGAAGAAATCAGACCTTCAGCCGAAAATGAGGAAGAAATCAGACCTTCAGACCTTCAGCCGAAAATCGCAGTACCTTACTCGATTGAGTAAAAATGAGGAACAAATCTGAGCTTGAGCTGAAAATCGCAGAACATTACTGGAAGAAATCCGACCTTTAGCCGAAAATCACAGAAATGAGGAACTATTACAAGCTTCATCCGAAAAACGCAGAACCTTACCTGGGAGATGTTACGAGCGAGGCGAATCGAAAGTGTATGATCTGGGATTCGGGGAATGAAACTGAAGAACGCGATTTTTGTTCGGCGATTTGATGTTCTTCACAAGGTCGAGCTCTGAATTGAAGACGAACGAAAGTGAAGTGGAATAGCAGCTGCAGATCGAAGTGTATTGTTTTTAGGTCAAGCTCTATCGATCGATCGATTTTTTTTCACTGTACAGATAATTTCTGATTAGGAAAATGATGTGTATTATTTTTTCCTACGTGTATCCTATATGTCCCACGTCAGTATAATCCGGCAGCCAGCACATAAATCCGATTGTCCATGTCAGCGCATTTCGCCGGTAAGTGAGCTCGAGACACAATTGCAACAAATAACAAAAGTTAGGATTTTATCTGCAAATTTGGAGAAGTGGAGTTTGTCTCCTCACAGGTCCCCTTTGCCTCCACCTCCTCCGCCGGGGCCGCAGCAATCTCAACAGCAAACATCCTCC